CTTCCCAGGGTCAGGTCTCCCGGTGGGGGTCCCAGTTCACTCTACCCCTGCTCCCCTCAGCTCTAAAGAAAGTGCAACTCATCTTCAGAGCTGCTGGGCTGCTTCTCTGCCACTCAGTGTGCAGCTGACAGGGGCCTGAATGGGCTCTGTGAGGATAGGCAAGAGAAAGAAACACAGATTTGTCATTGAAGGCTGACAAGGAAAACCGGTCAACTACCTAGTACTGGTTCCTTTGATGACCAGGGCATTCAAAATTAGGGGATAGGTGGTGAGAACAAGGTGTGGGCAGGATTGAGAGCCAGGATAGAGTTTTGTGTCATCACATTTTAGAGCCTTACAGGTGATCTTATCCAACATTAATTTTGTGTATTGAGAAGATTGAAATCCAGATGATCAGGGACTTGCTGTGGACAGGCTCACACAGCTGGCTCCTTACTTTTAGGTACTCCTTCCCCTACCCATCCCAATTGTGGGGGTAATTCTCTTTCTTGCTAACTCTGTTAGGGGAGAGGCAGGAGACAGTAGCAGTTTTAGACTCAGTTTTACAGATTAGGGGATGGAGTACAGAAAGAAAGAACCCTCTGTGCTGTTGGAGATGCCAGATCTAGCTTCCAGGGCTCTGCATCCTGTATAAGGCTGAGAAGTTAGGACAGACACTATGGTGGAGGTACATTTGCCCACAGAGAGTAGACTAGGATGATGGTGACCCCAGGAGCTGTGGGCCATGCAAGAGCCTGCTGGGGGACTGGCTGTGGAGTCAGCTTTGTCCTTCCTAGGTGCTCCAGTCCTTCCCAAGGAAGCCCAGAGTCTGCAGTGAACATAAGCTGCCTTTGCTAATCACTCACAAGTGTTTCTTTCTGGAAAGATGGAAGAGACAGCACTGGGAGGCATTTCTGTTTTCCCTTCACTGAACTGAGAGAAGCAACTGGTTACTGTGATTCTGAATGTCCCAGAAATCTGCTGCCTGTGCCCTCCCTCCCGTGCAGCCTGAGAGGCCACCCATGTGCAGAGGCAGAACTCTCATGTGCAAGCTCACCTTGGCCTCAGGGGCTGGTGGGAATGAAAGTCAAAGCTTCATTGCTTCCTCTCTTCTCCTTTAAGCATGTTCTTCCTTGATCTCCCCTCTTAAGATGGGATTCACTGAATTTTCTGCTTCCTTAGGAATTGTCATTCTTAGTCTGGGTCCCTCACTCCAAGTCTCTCCTGTGTTCTGTCTTTACTTCTCCCACTCCTACCACTTTTCCTGTCTTTCCAGGCACCCAGAAAAACAAAGCCAAGTTAAAGTGTTAGGGGCTTCTGTGCTATTCATGTTCTCACCCCATCTTTCAGAATTTCCAGAGCCCTGGCTCTCTAATCACTTCCTCTTAACCTCAGACAAGAAGCTCAATGCTCCTGGGCTGTACTGAGTCAGCAGGTTGCATTGTCACCTCAATAGTTCCAACAGGGGGGGTTACTGAGCTTCCTGCCAGGCAGGCTGAACCCCTCATCTGATACCACTTGACAGCTTTCTGTTCTGCTTAAGAGCAGGACCAGTTCTGTGTCAGCATCTAGGTGGTTCTGGGATATTCAGGTGAAAGAGGTCATCGAGGAAAGGCCAGGAAAGGGAGGTGAAGGGTGTGTGTGTGTGTGTGTGTGTGTGTGTGTGTGAGAGAGAGAGAGATTGAGAGAGAGAGAGAGAGAGAGAGAGAGAGAGATGGGATGTGGGTAAACAATGAAAACAGATTTGATGGGAAATACCTGCCTAGACATGCTTCATGAATAGGCCCAGCAGTAGGCAGGGCCAGTGTAGAAAGGATGGAGACTACCCCTGGGCAAGGAAGGACCCCCTTCCAGCCCTTCCACTCTGCTGACCTGCCTTGGCTCTGGCCTCCCAGGAAGGGGCTCTAGTCTTGGAATTGAAGGAAACTTATCTTGTGGCAACTTCTATATCTGTTCGCTCAGTGGGATGAGCTCCTTCTCAAGACCCACTTGATACCTATGGGTGACTTTCTACATTTCTCCATTGTCATTCACTCCACTGTTAATTACTTAAGAAAAAAATTGATTGACTTCTTTCTTTGTGTGAGACATTGGGCCAAAGCCCAGGGACGAGAAAGGAAGATCTCTTTGTGGAGGTGACATTCACACTGAGATATGCCTAGTGCTTTTAGTATGAGCTCCTTGAGGGCAGGGGCTCTGTCTTAATCACTTTTTACAGTTTCAGTGCTTACAATGAAGCCCAGCACTTGTTATGAAAAATTGGATCATTTTTATGTATTCAATGAATTTTTGATGAATAAATAAATGATCTCTTTCCTGTAGTTCCTTTGAAGCACTGAGTTCTTCATCACTTGAAGACAATGAAGTTAGACAAATCTGACATTTTTATGCCCATCCTGTCTTTATCTTGAATGTCCTTTGCTGATTTTTGTTCATATCTCCATTGGATGCTTCAGATGTTTTTAGTCCAAACAGGAAAGAACACCTACCAACCCCCCCCACTCCCTGCATTACCACCACCTCTATTCCTGTGAATGCTGCAGACTGTCTCTGAGATGCTATTAAGCACTCCCAAATAGACCAAGCCTCTCATTGACTATCACATGCTTCCTTAAATGATCTTTGAACAGCGTTTTCTTTTTATTGCTTTGTGTAGCTTAACAGCTCCAATTGCGATTACTCTAACTTATGATAAGCCCCAGATCTATAAAGCTCCTGTTCATTCATTATTTTCCTCTTGCTCCTTCTCAAGCTGTTATTTTTTGGAATGCAGTGAGGAGGAGGGGGAGTGGAGGGAGAAGAAAATAAAAAGATACCAAATTAACAGGGAAACAAATTAAATAGGGGAATCACTTCTCTCTGGGTGACAGACACCCTATTAGATACTGTTAAACAAAACAAATATGCTTTAATACAGCACAAGTAGGTCTTTTATATTTATTCTGAGTTAGAAATGAACACCCTTTATATTTAATGAAAAAACCAGCTAATTGTTCCAATAGCTCACTAATTCCAGCAACTGGGAATATATATATAACCAGTTGCTCAATTTACACCAAGGTATATTGTGGCATGGATGGAGATTTTTCTTTCTTGATATATGTCATGCTGCTCCAGTTCAACTGTTAATATGTGGGAGTTATAATTATTTTAAGTACTGGTATGAGATAATTATAAGACATAAAACAGCTTCCCATATTTGTGGCTGCCTTATCTGCAGACATGTTGGAGTTTGGGCACATAGCTTTGGGAAGAGAGGAAATGGTATAAAGTGGCACTTGGGGTAACACAGCTGTCTGGGATGGAGTAGGACCCTTCCTTCCCTTTTCCTCATGACTTCTGTCCCTCCTAAATCAGAGCAGACTCACTTTGTGCCTCTCTCTTTCTGTCCTACTGCCTCACTCTCCTCCTAGCCTGTCTCTGCTTTGTTAGTTGAGACTTGCAACTTATCACACATGTTGGCTCAGCTTGCTCACCTCCTCCTCATCTGCTTGCTTACCTAGAAGGTGGGGTCAGACACCTGGAGCTTCAGGTTTCAGATGCTGCCCAGTTCCTGACGTTTTGGCTCCTCCAATCCCTAGGAACCTAGGTTCAGCCTCTCTAATGAGCATCACCAACGAGAGAACATGTCTGTTCAGCACCATGGATAGAGGCATGCTGGCAGTTCCCACAAATTAGAACTTACTGCCTACCATTCTTGTCCAGGCTGCAGTGTTGGGAAGGGAGGAGGTGACTGAGAAAGCGGGGAAAAGTCAATGAAAGAGATTGATAGGCAAGATGTAGAGTGTGCAGCCCCCACCTCTGGCTGTGCTCAGCCATGGGGCTCCTACAAATGAGATGTGAATTCTGGAGGCTGCTGCCTTCTTGCACAGACAGGCAGCAAATAGGGGAGGTGATTGCTTCCTGGGCCTACTTGTGCTAGCCTAACTCTCACCAGACTGTCACCATGATGGGTGCTGTGGCAGATCCATAGCTGGTGAAGGCTCAGGTCGGGCACACAGAGGGGTGTGGGTGTCATGGATGGTGGATGGGAGGAGAGTAAGCTGCAGAGCATGGGAAGAGGGCACTTAAAGTCTTACTCTGGGTGTGTGTGGGGAGGGGCAGAAATGATAGAGGTGATCTCTCTCCTCCTTGCCTGGAGTGGGCATGCGTCTATAGGGGATCTGAGCCTGGGGAAGGAGGGGCCCAGCTCACGGCAAGCTGGGCTGGTCGGAAGCCAAGGCTTCATTCGTCTGACTTTAATGAATAAATGGCATCCCCAGCCATTGTTTATCTACTTTTGAATTCTGACAAACAGTCTGTGGCATCTGATGAAGAGGGTTATTAGCTGCACGAAGACAGATGGCTGGGGATGAAGAGGATTGGTTCTTTATTACAGCAGGCCCATAAGTGACAGCACTCTTCTCACATCCCAGCCTCCAAGTCAAAGTCAATACCTTCTTCAAGTCTTCTGTGACCTAGGCGAGCCTCAGAAAAGACCCAGTGCAAGAGGAAGGCGGAATAGTCCATAAGTAAAAGGGAGAGGTAGTTTAGTGGGATTGGAGAAGAAGGAAGATTTCTAAGCTCAAGATTTTTGGGAATACAACACTGCTTTATTCTTTAGGATTCTCCTAAGTGCCCTGCAAGGTGCTATTTATTCAATAGGCATTCAAGAAATATGAATGATTGGAGAGAAGGATAGTGGTTTGGATCAGAAAGACAATAGAAGCAGACTTAATTGGCTGTGTAGGTGAGTGGGGGAAGAAAGGGAAATGAGAAGATGATAAGTAGTAGATACAAAGGGGGAGATAGAATATAATCGGAGAAAAATGTCATGAGTCAGCATCTTGTGCCTCAGGCATTGGCTGTCCCACTCCCACATTACTGTATAAACAGCTTCATGGAAATCAAACTGAGCTGCTTGCTCTGCTTCCTGACATGTCCCTGGTTCTTTCTCCTTGTTCCTCTCTACCATAGTTGTAGAGTATAGCTTCTTCCCTCCATATTACCCTGAGACTGTGGGTGGGGAGGTTCTCACTGACCTTCATTCATTCTCCGAAACTTGTCCTTGGCCATGTAGCCCAACACCAGACAGCATCCTCTCCTCTGGAGGCCCAGCTCTGGAAGAAAAGCACAGGTGGGTGAGTTGGGAATGGGTCAGGTTTTAGGGGGACCCCATAGGGAACTCTGGAGCTTTTTGCTCTTATAAACAGGGCTACTTACTTATTTAGCAAACATTTCTGTAGCGCTTACTATATTTCAGGCATAATTTTAGTCAATAATTCTTATTAAATTCTTACAGCATCACGTGAGTTGTATGCTATCATTGTCCCCATTTCATATCATCCCCATTTTGGATGTATTAAGTAAGCAGCCTTACATGAAAGAACCAGCAGGTGATAGAGTCAGGATCTTGAACCTATGCAGTCTGGCTCCAGAATCCATCCTTATAACCATTACCCTGAGCTACCATGATCTTTTATATTCTAGGCTTTGGGACTTTTTCTGTATCACCTGAGGATTATGGCCAGATAAGGCAGAGAAGAGGCAGAGTCCAATCGCTGATGTCCAGGGTAGGACAGTGTAACCAGAGAAATTTGGGACACAACAGCTGTGGGATAGTCAAAAGGACTCATGCTACCTTTTGGAAGGGGTGAGTTTCTGGGATGGAAAGACCTCTACATTAAGGTGTTATTCGGTGCCATGATCTAGCACTTTATATTTTATACCCTGAGTGTAAGCTCAGAGAACAGGGTTTGGGAGAGCTAAAAGACACAAGCATTCACAGTGCTTTGACCCAACCAGATAAACAAGATAGAACAATAATTCCAGGTAGCAAATGTGAGAGACAATTTATTTTATCTTTTGCATAGCATTTTGTAAACCAGTGTCAATTGTGTGTGAGTGTTGGACTGGCAAGGAGAAGGCAAGCTTTCCTCTCTGATAGTTATCCTTTAGTCCTGATTTGTCTTGAGTGCTTTATGGATTCTGAAGCAATCCCACACTCAAATTCCCTTTTTTACTCCCACAACTACCCCACAGGGTAAGCAGGTGGGCCACTGCTATTCATATGACTCAGGAAACTGAGGCTTAAAAATGTTAAATGACTTCTCCTGATTATTTTTGACTCCCCACTTCTACCTCATTGCTTAGTAGTCATTCAATGTGACAGCTTTCATGAACTGGGCAAATGGATAAAGGGATATGATTTCTGAAAGAAGGAATGTGACTACAGTCTCCCTGCTGAACACTGTCCCATCCTTGGTCTTGCTAGAATTCCTGGGGATCTGGCTGCTTCTTCCCTTGGTTTCTCAGAGAAGGGACTCCCATAGAGGGGTGTGTCACTTCAACTTTTTCACTGTACCCAGTCTGTCTCTGAGCCCCAGCCTGCCAACATCTTGGCTGGCAGAGGGTAGACCAGTGGGCTCATTCCTTTTCTTGTCTCCCTATCTACCCTCCAATGTCCACCCTCCAAGACTAGCAGAATAAATGGGAGGGTAGGACCCATGAGAGATAGTAAGTTAAGCTTGGGGGCTCATGCCCTAAAGAAAAACAAAGTGTGGTGTGTGATGGCAGAATGCCACAGCCTAGGGAGGCTGCCCACTTTGATCTGCTGATTCTTTTAAGGGATTTATTGACTATCAGTAAAGAGCAGAGAGGCAGATCTGAGGGTGCTGTTTCCAAAGGCACTCACTTCTCTTCCTTCCCCTGCACAGTCGCTCGCTCATCTGAAGGCTCAGGCAAACCGCCCTCACTTCAAACAGCCTTACATCTTGTGCACCCAAATTGACGATGTTAAGTTCTCCCATCCAAGTCTTTGGCCCTTTCTTCAGGGGCTCCCGCTCTGTTGAGGGCCATGTGGATCAAAGCCCCTTTGATGTTTGCTTACTATATTTGTGTATTCTTTCTAACAACCACCTCCAAAAGGCAGGAATGTAGCATGTCAGGAGGGGGCCAGCGGAAGTACAAGCTGTGAGGAGGCACTGAACTCCAGTCAACAATAATCTCTTGCTGGAGCCTGTTCAGAAACCCCAGGTTGCTGACAACAGGCAGAATCAGCCTGCCCATTAGCATTGAAGGCTCATTGTTCATCATCAGAATGATACAATTGCTGCCGATTCCTGTTGTATTTGCCATTGACTTATGCCTATCTAAAGCACATCAGTGGTGGCTCTTAATGAGAAAGAGAGTCTGGGTCCCTGGATGGAGCCCAGGAGGGAGCCCAGGGAGCATTGAGGAGGGAGGGCAGAGGATACTGGATGTATTTGGCTAATGTTCCAGTTGGTCTTTTGTGCAGTCCCCTGAACTCTCAGGCATGTGGAAGGGGGAACAATTCTAAAGACTAAAGCATGAGCAACCTGTTACATCTGATTGTCTATGTTGGCTGTCTCTACTACCCCAACTCAACCTATACTATGTCACATTCTTGGATGCCCCTAGGTGATGGCCTGAGGAGAAGCTGCACATGCATGTGGCTATTATAAGCAAGAGTCTCCCTGACCATGTTGGACCATGAGCTCCAAAAGAAGTTTTTTAAAATCCTGATTAATAAAAGAAATTGAGAACGAGGTAATTTCTCAATGTATTGGGCTCATTTAATTTGACACATGTGGGTTAGTCTTAATTATTTAGGTGGCTACATTACAAGGCGCTAATAAGAACACTGCAGAAATTCATTACATGAGAGGGCTCTCTGACTAAGTATTTGCTGGGAAGTGGGGAGAAGCCATCCAGATCCCTGCGAGAATGAATAGGCTAGAGAATTCGTGAAGAGAGAATTAGCTAGTTTTCCGTATTCAAAAATTTGGGATGCTTTTGGAGAGATTTATGGGGCTGGATTAGAAGTCGTGAGGTCTACATGCAGGAGGGACAGAAGCGGGGGACGAAGGAGAATTGGAGGCACAGCTGGGGAGGCGGAGCATCTGACCCTAGATTGAATGAGGAGGAAGCAGGAAGTAAGTGCTTTGGCTCTGGGAAACATCTAACAAGTCAAACTAAGTAGGCTATCAGGGGAGAGGGACAGACTTTCACAGAAAGAGCAGGAACTTCTCACTGTGTGAGGCAGACCAACCACTATACTGTCTCTTTCCTGGCACATGGCTCTGAGATGGATGGAAGAGTCAGGTCACAGATATTTATTTTGAACGGCAAGATGATGGGGTCTTCACTAAGCAGGTACTGGGGCTCTTGATTTTTGGCTTCATCAGGAGAACCACACACCGCAGAGGCGTTCATGAAAAATGATTGACGTGAATGGAGTCCAGGCTTGAAAGGAAAATTCAGAGGAAAGGAGTTCAGGATCACCTGCAGATAGGGGATGCTCCCTATCTGAGGGAAACAAAAGCTTAGGTGATAGTGCCCATGCAAGGAAACAGTTATTAGGGCAGGGATGCTTCTTAGGGAGAAGGGAAGCTTGCACCTCAGATAACTCATGGCCTCTGGACTGTGAACATCAGAGGGACACAGAGATTCCTTTTCTAGCTGAGCCCCTAGTGCTAAGCACAGTGCCTAGCACATGGCAAGTGCTCAGGAAAAATCTGCTGACTTGAAGAAAGGACCAACTAGAAAATATTGTGGGAAAGAACAGTTCTTCCCAACCCAAGTCAGAATGAAAACAGATGGGCTCAAATGTGGCACAATGCATTTAGGTTAGTGGGAACGGTTGTTGAGTGAATGAAAGTTGTAATTCACTGAAGTAAGGAAATGTTCTGCAACTAGGGAACACTGTGGGGTTTTCCCTTGGGAGGAATAAAAAGGGATGGCATTATAAATGGAATGAGTTTCTGCAGCTTCAAAGAGTGTGGTGAGACTCTTTCTAGTCTTAGCATTCCCTTATTCTTACGAGTAATAATAGTGACACAGTGATGCTCCTGCCCGCTTGTGGCATGCTTACATTTTCACGATGCTGTCATCTTCACTCTCTCATTAGATGTTCACAGTAGCACTGTGAAGTAGGCAAGGCAGAAATTATTTCCTCCATTTTGGATTCAGAAACCAAGGCTCTGAGAAGTAAAACGACAATTCAAGGACAATCTCTCACTATCGATGGTGCCTCACGATCAATCTCTCACTATCGATCAGTTCAGGACTGATTTCTGCCTTAGTTCTTAGGGTAAGGTAGGGCGAATTGTGTACCTCTCTGTTCCTATGTCGAAGTCCTAATCCCAACATCTTTTTATTTTTTATTTTTTATTTTTTTTTCTTTTTTAAAATTTTATTCATTTATTCTCATGCGCATACATTGTTTGGGCCATTTCTGCCCCCACTGCTGGCCCCCTCCCTTTCCCCCCCTTTTTTTTTCATTTTTCTTTTATTATTCATATGTGCATACAAGGCTTGGTTCATTTCTCCCCCCTGCCCCCACCCCCTCCCTTACCACCCACTCTGCCCCTCCCTCTCCCCCCCTCAATACCCAGCAGAACACTTTTGCCCTTATTTCTAATTTTGTTGTAGAAGAGTATAAGCAATAATAGGAAGGAACAAGGGTTTTGTGGTTGAGATAAGATAGCTATACAGGGCATTGACTCACATTGATTTCCTGTGCGTGGTGTTACCTTCTAGGTTAATTCTTTTTGATCTAACCTTTTCTCTAGTTCCTGTCCCTCTTTTCCTATTGGCCTCAGTTGCTTTAAGGTATCTGCTTTAGTTTCTCTGCGTTAAGGGCAACAAATGCTAGCTATTTTTTAGGTGTCTTACCTATCCTCACCCCTCCTTGTGTGCTCTCGCTTTTATCATGTGCTCAAAGTCCAATCCCTTGTTTGTGTTGCCCTTGATCTAATGTCCACATATGAGGGAGAACATACGATTTTGGTCTTTTGGCCAGGCTAACCTCACTCAGAATGATGTTCTCCAATTCCATCCATTTACCAGCGAATGATAACATTTCGTTCTTCTTCATGGCTGCATAAAATTCCATTGTGTATAGATACCACATTTTCTTAATCCATGTCAGTGTCTGGGCATCTCTTGGCTGTTTCCATAACTTGGCTATTGTGAATAGTGCCGCAATAAACATGGGTGTGCAGGTGCCTCTGGAGTAACCTGTGTCACAGTCTTTTGGGTATATCCCAAGAGTGGTATTGCTGGATCAAATGGTAGATCGATGTCAGCTTTTTAAGTA